GTAATAGTAGTTGTATTCATCCATTTCTTTCAAGCTATTTGTCCAAATAGAATCAGTTTCTTACATTTATATTTAGATTATTCTTTAGTTGTTAAAATCAGAAATACTTTAAGGTACTTTACTAAACAAACAAACTCAATTCATACTCAATATTTGCTCCGTTATTTCCTCTAAGAGTCTATAAAAATGGTTCCGATGCTTTCTCCAACAAGTTTTCTGTTTTATTCTTAGTTTATCTTTTATGTTCGTTACGGTAATGTAATCCATGCATGCCGTCACGTTTGCAGTTTGGATTGTGGTTCCGAGGCTTGTTTTTGGGTGGACTGAGCGCCAGATGGGGAAAAAGAAATGGCTTTAATTATGGCCTGTTGTTGAAGGTCCTACTCGTTTCTGCTGTGCTATTTAAATCTCTATAATCTGGATTCTGTGCTGGTGGAACCAGCAGGAGACAAGATCACCACGAATAAAGAAGATTTGATATCAAGGCCTATAATTTAAAGTAGCTTGATTGCAAGGCAATGATAACTGCTTTGTAAAAGCTTTTTATTGTGACTTGGGAGAGGCTGAGATATCCTCTGGTTACTGTTGAATATGAAACATTTTAGATGCAATTGCATAAAAGCAACACAGTTTCCAAAAGCAACATTTTTAATTGAAGCTTCCTTTCCATGGATCTTATAGTGAATAACTTTATTCACTTATAAACTTCACCACACATTAAATTACCAATGCATACAGATTTTAAACATGTTCGATATATTCAAGTATATTTAGTTTTAAAAGTTAGGATTTTTGATTTTGAAGCGTAAACAGTTTCAATGCAAACATCCATGATGCTAAAAATAGCATTTAACAATCAGGTGTCTGGACATAGTTTGACCAGTAGGTGTCACTGTTGGTTTTTACATCCTAACCCAGCAGGCATTTGTGAAAATAGAAAGCAACATAGAAGTTGAATGCAATTAAAGATGTATTCATCATAAATACATATTTTATGATGTATTTATCTCAAAAACCAAAGAGATTTTGAAATAAACTCTTTTTTTTTTGTCTTGTTATTCTGACATTTGCTTTATTTATGTGACCTCTCCCTCACTATGTTAGTAGGCATTAGTCATCAAAAAAGGCAAATTCACAAAATTTGCCACATATTAATACATTAGAATGATATTTATGTTCTGAATTCAGATTCCTTTTTTTGGTTTGTTCAGATGTTTCTTAAAATCCTACACCAGCCCTTTAGTAACTGCTTTGGCTCGGTGCCTCAATAAGGATGAGTTTTATTTTCTTCCCTTTATTACTGGACCATTTAGCACTGTCTGGTCTTGGCCTTACATACTTGTCAGGGTTACCTGTCATCATCTTCTTAGTGTTTCCACAGCAGAGACAATATAATTAGTGTCTACTCAGGTCTGGAACATCCAATAAACTCAGATTTGCAAAAACTGTTTTCCACTTTAAAATATACTGGATGCATTGTTTGTTCCAACTTTATAGAAGTGAGAACCTTGTTTTTGTCTGAATTGTGACTGTTTTTGCTCTTTCACTGGGTACAGTCATGTGGAAAATTCTTCTCCTTCATTTTAGGAAGAACAAAAAGACAGAAGGAGATGAAGACCCCCCAACCCGGAGAAGGCACTCTATCCTTTTCTGGCTCAAGACCATGGCCTCGGATTTGGAGGCACTAATCCTCATTTCGCCCGCTTCACACTCAGCTGCAAACTGCACCAGCAAGAGCTGCAGATCACAACCCGATGAAGCAAATTGGACCACATCATCCGCAAAAAGCAGAGATGCAATCCTAAGGCCACCAGAACGGATCTCCTCACCAACTTGGCTGCGCCTAGAAATTCTGTCCATAAAAGTAATGAACAGAATCTTTGTCACAGGCGGAGTCCAACCCTCACCAGAAACGAGCCTGACTTATTGCCGGCAATGCAGACCAGACTCTGACACCGGTCATACAGGGACCTGACGGCCCTTATCAAAGGGACTGGTACCCCATACTCCCAGGGCTTCCCAAGGGACACGGTTGAATGCCTTCTCCAAGTCCACAAAACACATGTAGACTGGTGGGGCAAACTCCCATGCGCACTCCAGGACCCTGCTGAGGGTGTAGAGTGGGGATGAAAACCAGGAAAAAAAGGACGCCTCCCCTGGCATCCTTTTTGGATATCGATATTGCAACATCATTATCAAAATATCTATGTCCATGCGATATTGCAGAGTTGCGTCATCCAATACAACCCTACGACATCCAGAACTTTAAGAAACTCTGGGTGAATCTCATCCACCCCCAGGGCCCTGCCACTGAGGAGCTTCTTAACCACCTGGAGAGCCCGACCCAGAGTCCCCTGAGATTTAAGAGCCCGACCCAGAGTCCCCAGGCTCAGCTTCCTTAATGGAAGGCATGTCGGTGGGATTGAGGAGGTCTTCAAAGTATTCTGCCCACTGGCCCACAACGTCCTGTGTCGAGGTCAACAGCACACCATCCCCACTGTAAACATGTGCTGCAACTCTGTGTTGGTGCTGCACTGCTTCCCTCTCCTGCGACACCGGATGGTGGACCAGAATTGTCTCAAAGCCGTGCGGAAATCTTTTTCCATGGCCTCTCCGAACTCCTCCCACACCCGTGTTTTTGCCTCAGCAACCACCCGAGCCCGCCAGTACCCATCAGCTGCCTCCGGAGTCTCAGAGGCCAAAAAGGCCCGATAGGACTCCTTCTTCAGGACTCCTTCTTCAGCCTGACAGCATACCTCACCGAAGGTGTCCACCAACGGGTTCAAGGGTTGCCGCCACGACAGGCACCTCGATAATGGAGGTATGGAACATGGTCCACTCAGACTCAATGTCCCCAACCACCCCTGGAATGTGTTCGAAGTTCTGCCGGACATGGGAGTTAAAGCTTCATTTCATAGGGGATTCTGCTAGACGTTCCCAGCAGATCCTCACAACATGTTTGGGCCTGCCAGGTCTGACCTGCATCCTCTGCCACCGGAGCCAACTCACCACCAGGTAGTGGTCGGTGGACAACTCCGCACCTCTCTTCATCCGAGTGTCCAAGACATACGGCCGCAGAGCCGATGGAACAATGACAAAATCGATCATCGAACTGCTGCTAGGGTGTCCTGGTGCCAAGTGCACATACGGACATCCTTATGCCTGAACACGGTGTTTGTTATGGACAATCCAAGACGAGCACAGAAGTCCAACAACAGAACACCACTAGAGTTCAGATTGGGGGGAGGGTTCTTCCCAACCACGACCCTCCAGATCTCACTGTCATTGCCCACATGAGCGTTGAAGTCCCCCAGCAGAACGAGGGAGTCCCCAGCAGGGGCAATCTCCAGTACCTCCTCCAAGGACTCCAAAAAGGGTGGGCAATCTGAACTGTTGTTCAGCCCGTAGGCACAAACAACAGTCACAACCCGTCTCCCCACCTGTAGGTGGAGGGAGGCTACCCTCTCGTTTAATGGGGTAAACCCCAACGTACAGGCGCCGAGATGGGGAGCAACAAGTCTGCCCATTCCTGCCCGGCACCTCTCACCAAGGGCAACTGCAGAGTGGAAGAATGTCCAGCCCCTCTCAAGGAGACTGATTCCAGAACCAGAGCCATGCGTAGAGGTGAGACCGACTATTTCTAGCCGGAACCTCTCAGACTCAAACACTAACTCCCACTCTTTCCCCACCAGATAGGTGACATTCCATGTCCCAAGAGCCAGCTTCTGCAACCAAGGGTCGGACAGCCAGGACCTCCTCCCTTGGCCGCCACCCAACACACATTGCAGACGATCCCTTTGGCCCCTCTCATAGGTGGTGGGCCCACGTCTCCTCTTCGGGCTAAGCCCAGCCGGGCTCCATGGGTAAAAGCCTGGCCACCAGACGCTTGCCAATGTGCCCCACCTCCAGGCCTGACTCCAGGGTGGGAGTCAGGAGTCAACGGAGCACAATAACAACAAGGTAAGATGCAGGAGCCAGAGTTTGTATTCACATTCTTATAGTCAGTTCAGTTCATTTAAAATGACCCTGAGCAATAATCTGTGTAAACATTGTGTAATTCAAGGGTTTGTCTCATCATCGGGCACTTGTATTACTCGTACAACAATATTATGCTGCTGTTGTTAATGTCATTTAAATATTTTTACCTGTTTTTAAACAGGTGGTGCAAAACATGAGCAGAGTTTAATTTTCTGCTTTAAAAGAAAAGTTACATGAAGAAAACAAGAAAAGTATAAAATGCATTATTTAATAGAAAAGCTAACAGAGAAAATTCACTCGTCTCTATGGCTATTAATTTGAAAGTATTCACCGGAAGTGAATGTGATATGTAAACTATCGACTTTTATCAAGTAGCTGTAGATACCATCTGTGTCCACTAAGGGGCAATAACAGTCCTGGTCTGATATTTACGCAGCTAAAATATCGACATCAATCTGACTGTTTCCAGAATAATTTAACTTTTCATAAATATTTTCCTATCTTCAGACCGGAAGCTCAGCATCTTAACGTCTAAACCAGAGTTGTAGAGCTTTGTTTCAGCTGTTTGGAGCTAACGCTCCAGGTTAGGAGCCACAGCTCCTCTGAAGCTGCTGCTGGAGTTTGTTAGCACCGCTAGCTCCGCTCAGAGTCTCTGCGGGCTGTTTTCAACTCTGTGGAGCTGCTTCCAGTTCACACTGACAGAGAAAACATTGAGGTGAACTCAAGAGAAGAATCTGGCTTCATTCATTTCACTGGGAACAAGTTAGCTACAGCGCTACAGACTCGTATCATTATATCCCCTCTGGTGGCTAAAAGTTGTAACTGCAATTGCTATAAAGCTGGAAATACGCTTCCTGTGAGGTATTTCAAAATAAAACATTGGAAAGAACAATAATATTGCAGCTATAGTTTGAAGCAGCTAAACTAATAAACTTGGAGGAAAAACAGTGTTGCACATACTATATTTGTACACAATCAGCTGCATAGAAACCCACAAGTATTATTAAAAACTTTATTGACTCATCGTTAAATACCCACGAACCCATATCACATAAGAAATATAAAAAAACAATCATGAACCAATCAGCAATTCATTCCAGTGATTCTGTGAGGACTGACTAAATCAGTAAATTACAGTAAAGAGCCTGATGTAACATCAGGCTCGGAAATTTTCACACGATGTGCCACAATGATGCACTACACACAGGAAAGTACACTGGATTTGGAGTTTGGTCCTCAAAAACAAAAAAAAAAGATAAGAGTTACACAGAGGGACTGATCTTTTCATGCTGAAGTTCTCTAGAAAACTCAAAACATGAAATATGGAGTTGAAAAAGTAAAAACCAAAACAAAGTGAGAAAACTTAAAGCTGAGAATCAATGATGATGCAAAATGTCATTATTTAGATTTTAGAATGAACATAAAAAGATAAAAACATGTAAAGTCTTTTTTTTTATTTATCCAGATAAATGATGGATGTTCCTGAAAACTGGTCCCGAAAGCTGATTGATGTCCCACAAGAAAGGTCAGTTTCTGTGGGACATACAGTTCTAAACTGGTAAACTGATTTCTGTGATGGAAGCTGAAGTTTCTCTGCAGTTTCCAGTAAAGCATCTTTTTATCTGTGGAGCTTTGAGAAACATTTTCATGTCAACAGAAGGAAGAAGCAGCAGAGAAAAGAGATTTGAAGTGTCTTTCATGACTTCAAACCTGAACTGAAAATGACTCCCATGTTTCCATTCTTAGACCATTTCTGGTTCCAGGACGAAAATAAACCCGAGAGAAAAAAGATAAACTTTCCAGTTGAATCTAGTTCAGATCAAAACTCCATGAAGCCTCTAAATCAGGGTTGTCAAACTCCAGTCGTTAAGGGCCAGTGTCCTGCAACGTTTAGATGTGCCTCTGCTGCATCATACCTGAATAATTAGGTCATTAGCAGGACTCTGGAGAATTTAGCTACACAAAGAGGAGGTAATTAAGCCTTTTCATGCCAGTGTTTTGTACCTATGGCACATCTAAAAACTGCAGGACACCTTGAGGTCTGTACTTTGACACCTGTGCTCTAAATGGAGCCCCATTTGAATTGGATCTTTATTGATTCAAAGAGACAAACAATATCAGACACTAAATGACAGACATAAGAAAATAAACAGGAGGGACATCTTTGAGGTCAGAGGTCATTATCAAGATCCAGTCAGAGTCTCTTTAGATTCAAACTGCTGCAGCCTCAACCTCTGAGGATCAGCAGGACACAGAGACCATTCTCTACTTTACAGAGATCATCAGTCCCACCTGTCAGAATCATCAGGATCATTAGGATCATCAGAATAATCATGATCCACAAAATCATCAGGATCATTAGGATCATCAGAATAATCATGATCCACAAAATCATCAGGATCATTAGGATCATCAGAATAATCAGGATCATTAGAATCATCAGGATCATTAGAATCATCAGGATCATTAGAATCATCAGGATCATTAGGATCATCAGGATCCTCAAAATCATCAGGTTCATAGGGATCATCAGGATCCTCAAAATCATCAGGTTCATAGGGATCATCAGGATCATCAGGATCCTCAAAATCATCAGGTTCATAGGGATCATCAGGATCATCAGGATCCTCAAAATCATCAGGTTCATAGGGATCATCAGGATAATCAGGATCCTCAAAATCATCAGAATCATCAAGATTGTCAAAATCGCTGTAAGGAGCTATATAGGAGATGATGATGGAATTCCACCTGCAGAGAGAAGAAGGATGAAGAGAGCAGATGAGTGAGTGTTTCCAGCTTCTCTCCAGCAGCAGTCAGTGACACAGCACATCCACTAGACGGTTTCCAGGCTGCAGTAAGACTGATCTCAGAGCTGTGACCAAGATGAACCTAGGTCACAGCTCAGTTCAACAGTTGTTTCCTGTTGAACAGAGAACAAGCAGATTTACTCTGGACCCTGGAGTCCAGCTGGACTTCCTGGAGACATGGACACAGCAACAACACTCATCTTCACACCAACACAAACACAGCAAGCCGATGCTCCTCTGATTTGCTGATTGCTGTCTCTGTGTCCAATCAGGAAGCCTGAACCATTCTCCTCTCACTGAGATGCTGCAACTTTACTGGGAACACTGTTGCTTTGATGCTAACTGGGTTTAGTTCAATATGCTGAGAGCAGCTGGTCTCACTACAAATATTTACTTACTTTACAGTATTTACAAGATCCTTCAGCTGCTGAACATCTGAATCCTTTAGGCCGTTTCCTCTCAGGTCCAGTTCTGTCAGATGGGTCGGGTTGGACTTCAGAGTTGAAGCCAAATAATCACAGCTGCTCTTTGACAAACTGCAGATTATCAATCTGAATAAAAGATAAAAGATGTGAGCTGAAGCCAACAGGATGCAGGTTTACCAGTCCAATAGAACCAGTTAAAGATTCTCATGAATATTAATGCCAACATGCTGTTGCTTCAAAAAAGACCTGCTGACTTCAGAAGCAGAAGCAGAACCAGAACCAGGTACTGGGTCATGTTGTGTTGGAGGATTTTAGTCAGTAAAATCATTCCAGGTTTTTCATTGATTATCGATTTGTTCCTGTCAGATTCCAGGAGCTGGAATTCACTTTTCTAGACTGGGCTGAATGACCTTTGACCTGCTTTACATGAGGAGAATTTCTACACACTGGGGGTCCAAAATGCTTGACCTGAGATCAGCGGGTCCAACTCAGTTACACAGAGGGACTAAATTAAACTCTGGATCCAAGTCCATGAACAAACTCAGAAAATATTTATTAGCAGCTCCTGACCCCTAGTGGGTCAGGAGTTGCTGGTACCTATCTCCAGCTACGTTCCAGGCGAGAGGCAGGGTCACCTGTTGTTTCTGTCGCAGAGCAACACAGAAACAAACAGGACAAACAATCATGCACACACACACTCACACCTAGGGAGAATTTAGAAAGGACTGCCTCTAGACTGTCAATTGACCTGACAGTCATGTTTTTAGACTGTGGGAGGAAGGCGGAGAACCCAGAGAGAATGCACAGGGAGAACATGCAGACTCCATGCAGAAAGACCCAGGACCTTCTTGCTGCAAGGCAACTGTAGGAGCCAATTGTTGTCACCACCAGAGGGCGTATTGTTTTGTTTTCTGAGTGTCTGAGGGGGATGGGTTATTTAAGGTCGATTGTAATGGTGTTCAGGTGTTGAGCATTGGGAAGAGGACACAGTTTTTTACTGTGTTTGGTTTGACGGGTAGAAACGAACTTTATGTATGTAAATGGAAATTATAATAAAAGACTTTCATACTAAAGAAGAGCACTACTCTGAAACTTAATCCGAACGCACGTAAAAACGAACTACACCCAGAGGCAACCACTAGTAGCGCTAAAGTAAAGGATTTTGGACGCTACAGCAACAGTGCTAACCAACTGCACCACTGTGCAGCCCTTGATTTATAATCAATTATATATAATTATTCACAGAACTATCAATAATTATATAATTACATACTGCAATGTCTCCAGTCTGCAGCCTTCATTCTGTAGAAAACTACAGAGCTCCTTCAGTCCAGAATCTTTCAAGTTGGTTCTACTCAGGTTCAGTCCAGTCAGATGGGTCGGGTTGGACTTCAGAGCTGAGAACAGAGACGTCCAGCTGGTCTCTGATAAACTGCAGCCATTCAATCTGAATAAAGAATAAAAGATGTGAACCAACAGGATGCAGTTAAAACTGAAATATGAACAAATAAATAATAAAAATGTAGAAAATAAATTTTCCTGAACGTAAAAGAAACATGATGAACTGATTCTAACATCTGATCCAGTCAAACTGGTTTAAAGAGTCCAAACCAGCAGAACCAGAACATTTTATCAAATAAGAAACTCAAAGTTTTCTATCAGTCTGGATGAGTTGAGCTATTTCTGCTGGTTCCTGATCATCAAACCCAACTTGGTAACTGGATCAGAACCAGTCAGGTTCTTCATTAATGGCCTTTGGGTTCCTGTTAAAGCTGCTGAAAGCCAATTGAGGCCATTATTTCCTCAGGAGACGTGACCCGATGAAGCGTCGTCACAGAGACGAGACTCCAACCGACCGACAGCTGTCAGACTGAAGAGGACGGTTCCTCTCTGACCCGGCCCAACAGAACCACAGTCTCAGGACAAAGCTGAGGAACCTGCTGCTGCTGTAACCCTCACTTTCATTCATTTCATCTAGATTTGCTTTTCTACAAACAGTCGTTTCTTAGATGTGTCATTAGTGAGGATTTGAACTTGTCAGTGTTTGTGGCTCGACTCTGGAGGATCAACATTACATTCTGGATGTAGAGATGAGAATCAGAAATAAAACAATCTGAATATTTACCAAACCAAACTGAAACATCTCCATTAATAACATCATCTGAATTATTTTACTCATTTTCTTCATCAGTCAGAAACATTTTAAAGTGAAAAACTGAAAAACAAAGTTCAATAATCTCAAAGTCTGAAATAAGAAAATAATTCATTTATAAAGTAAAATATTTCAGAGCTTTTATTCCGACATTTAAACAGGTTGTTTTGAAATAAAATATATTATTAATTAATGATTAAAGTATCAATAAATGATTTTATTGAATAAATAGAGAAAACAAACCTCAGATTCTTCACTTTACTGACTGAATTCTCCAGGATCTCGAGCAGATGCTTCATATCAGAGTCTTCACCATTCAGCATGAAGATCTCACTGATTTCCAGTTCAGTCAGATCTGGGTTGGATTTCAGAGCCGAGGCCAAAACTTCACATTCAGCCTTGTAGAGCTCACAGCCACCAAGTCTGTGATTAGAGGAGAAATAAATTCAGTTCTGATGAAATCAGTCTGGATCATAAACAGACTAAAATATGATAACAGTGATGTCATCATCTGATCATCATCTGATCAATATCTACTGAGTTTGACCCCACAGAGAATCTGTGCAGTTCCTGATTAAAGTCCAGGTTCAAGTTCTGGTTCTGGTCCAGGTTCTGGTTCTGGTTCTGGTCCAGGCTTCATGTCCTCAGACCTTCAGTTGCAGTCAGATCATCATCAGTGAAGAAAAAGTTTTCTCTGCAGCAGGTGATGAAGAGATGAATGAGCTGAGCTCTACTGGCAGCAGATGGAGATGTGAAGAGTTCAGAGCAGGTGATGAGAGGACTGAGCTGAATGACAGAAACTACTGGAGATGATGGAGAGGAGGAGGAACTGCTCACAGCTCTGACTTGGACTAGACGGTTTGGGTCCTTAAGATCTTCCATCAAGCAGGAAGTGAGTTATAAATGAAGTGAGCAGAACAGGAAGTCCAGCTGCTGTGGACCCCTGGCATCTCTGGGTTTGTTGAGCCAATATCTGCTGCATCATCATTAATAATAGTAATATATTGTATAGAAACATGTTTCCCAGCAGCAGGTTATTAAATGCTGCCACAGAGGAAACTGGGAGCAGAACAAACACATGATGCTCCAGTTCTGTCTCAGTTCATCTGCTGGATTTGATGCTTTAACAAAGTAGAAAGTGGACAGTCGTCAACCTGCTGCAGCTAAAAGCTTCAGATTGTTCTGGTCGTCCTGCAGAGCAACAGCAGAACCGGTTGTTACGCCTTTGTTTTGTTTGTATTACATGTCCACCCACTAGGGGCACTGTTATGCCAGGAGCATATGTTATGGGTTTGTGTTCTTCGGGGCTCTCTGTCTGTCTGTTCGGGGGATGCACATGGCGGAATAAAGTTGAGCAAAGAAACAAGTTATTTTTATTGACTAACATTGGTAGCAGAGGATGGTTAGTAACTACAGAGTTCCGCCAACGTTTGAGGAAGGAAAGCCTTACGAAAGCTGGAAGAATGAAGTCAACATTTGGACGAGAGTTACAGATTTGGAGAAGAAAAAGCAAGCACTGGCTGTCACCCTGGCTCTGTCTGGAAGAGCGCGGGACACGGCGATTGAAATTCCGGTAGATGATCTAAATAAAGACACTGGCCCACGTTGCCCTTTTCCTGTTGTGGGCAACGGGGCCCGGCGAATACCCGTGGTTAAACGGACAGCGGAGTTCGGCGGTAACAGGCGCTTAAATTCCGTGACAAAGGGAAGGGGGAAGAAAGGGAAGGAAAAGGGAAAAAAAAAAAAAAAAAAAAAAACCTTGGTATTTTATTCTATGTTGCATGCCTTTGTGTTTTGTGTTTATGATGTAAAGCACTTTGAAATGCCTTGTAGCTGAAATGTGCTATACAAATAAAATTTGATTGATTGATTGATTGATTGATTGGAATGACCACATTGTTCGCTAAACTAGATGACTTGTTCTTAAAAGAGGACAAGGACAGAATCTATGAATCATACTCGGATTTTGACCGGATGATAAAAGAAGTTAACATGTCGATGGCGAACTATATTATTGATTTCGAGCAGCGTTACTCGCGGATGAAGAAATACAACATGGAGCTACCTGACGCTGTTTTGGCTTTTAAGCTTTTGGACACTGCGTGTTTGGACAGACAGTTGGCTTTAACGGTATGCTCAGATGTAACATTTGCTTCTATGAAGTCCGCTTTGAAGAGAATATTTGGCGAGAAAAGAGGTGCGGCAGCAGAAGGCATTAGCCAAGAGTCCGTGTTTGCAACGGAGCATTACATTGTATTACATGTCCACCCACTAGGGGCACTGTTATACCAGGAGCATATGTTATGGGTTTATGTTCTTCTTCGGGGCTCTCTGTCTGTCTGTTCGGGGGATGCACATGGCGGAATAAAGTTGAGCAAAGAAACAAGTTATTTTTATTGACCAACACCGGTCCCGCTGCTCCTTCAAGTCTAAATCAGATATTGATATGACACTGAAACATTCACTAAAGTCATTTTCTGGTTTCCTCCAGCAAAATTGAAAAGTCTCAGACAGAAACAATTTTAATGTTTAATGTATCAGGGTTGGTGGAGGGACTCGAACCCTCAGGACAAAAGTTAAAAAAAATTATTCTCATCAGTTAATATAATATTTCTTTATATCAAATGTTGATAAATACAGAATAATAGAAGGTCACAGATGAGAGACGTCTGATCATGCAGAGTGTTTATGACTCCATTTGGGTCATGAACCAAAGAAACCCTGTGGAGGCTCAACAATAATAATAGTTTATTAAATGACACTAAATTTAACAGCTTTGAGGAAAAACAGCTCAAAGATGATATGAACTGGAACAACACAGAGGATATTTCTCCCTGGATTTTATGGGATGAAGCAAAGACTTTATTTATCTAGTCCTCTAAAAAAATAGAGAAATATTTAAAAGATATCATTGGAAAACTGAAATCTCTACAAATATGACGTATGGAAAATAATAATGATCACATTTTACTACAATCAGAGAAACAAGCCCAAACTGTTTTCATGAAACTAGATGGAAGAAAATGATCATTTTATTAAACTGAACTATTATGAAAACAGCCCAAAAGCAAAGAAACTGAGAGCAGACTAATAGATTTATCATTAAATAAAAAATCCAACAGATAAAGACACCGTTCTCTAAAAGACATAAAAGTCTTTTGAATGATCCTCCACTCAGTTCTGCTCTCAGCCTCATGCAGTGCCATCGTCCTCTTGAGGGTTTTTCCTGCTGCTCTGGATTTACCATTGATAGAAACAGATCAAAATAATCCACTAATAACTGAGGAGGAGATCAATAAAAACAATTAAAAACTGAAAGGGAACCATACGCCAGGTGAGGACGGCGACCCGGCGGAGCGGCTGCTTAAGGATTGATTTAATCAGAACTTTGTGGAAGGGAAACACCGCCATCTTGGATCAGAGCAGAGATCTCAGTGATTCCTAAACCTGGTAAAGATAAAACTGAAAGTGGTTCATAAAGACCAACATCAGTTTGAAACATTGAGGACAGGATATTTGCAGCATCACTGTATAAATATTTATAATCCCAGGAATTACAGACACAGATCAGATTTAATCTGATTTTATAATCAACATTCAAACCCATGACAACGTGAGACGGGCTTTTCACCTCACAGGTCAAAGAAAAAACAGAATCAGTAAACTCAGTTCAGATGCTGAAAAGGCTTTTGATTCAATGTGTTGGAAATATTTTTATTCAGCTCTGGACAGATTTAACTTTAATAATCAGATTATTGGTTGCTTTCAGTCTGTATGAATCACATTCTGCCAGGATTAAGATTAATGTGGATTATCAGATACAACAGAAAATTTGATAATCCACAGAAAAGGGCCACAGAAAAGGGTCTGTGGCCGAGGCTAAACCCTCAGCCCCACCTTGCTGTTTTTATTGATCCATCAGAGAACAAAAACATTACAGGTGGAACTATTAAAGCACATGTGTCAAACTCAAGGCCCGGGGGCCAAATCCGGACCGCCATAGCTTTTTATGTGGCCCTCCACAGACTAGACTAAACACTAAGTGTGATTAAATATTATATTATCAATCATATCAATGCAGTTTTTATCTGTTTACTGCTAATGTATATCAATCAATCCCTCCAGTTTCTTGAGAATTTAGTTGATATATGATTATAGTCCGTGATTTATACAGCGAGTAGATAAACAGTCGCATTTATTAGTAGTTCCTGATGGGACTGAAAAGATCTTCAATAATATCATGTAATTTTAAGAATTCATTGACATATTAACAGTTTGTGAACAGGTTTTATCAACACATTCTGGCACAACTGGCCCTTTAAGAGCCTTCATGAACTTGATTTGGCCCAAAACGAAAATGAGTTTGACACACCTGTATTAAAGGAACAAGACCTGACGATGAGCTGCTAATGCTAACTGACTCGGTGTCAGCCTACCTACCCTGATAGCACATGATGCTAAGTCAACGTTGAATTATAGTCAGAATGGCTGATTTTTAGTTGTCTACAAATGGGGAGAAAATTTAAAACAACATACATTAAAGCTAAACAAAAGAATCCGAAATAACAATAACTGACTATGTTTGGTCATTTGCAATTCTGTGATTCACAGCTCAAGTTCAGGTCTGTTGAAGAAATTTTATTGGAAAAACTTAGTGAGTTTTTTAATTTCCTCCAACATTAAGAGTAAATGATGTAACAACCCTGAAAATGCAACACGTTGGAGGAACGGGCTCTTTGCACCTGCCGCACTGATGTCACAACTGCATGCCCAAATGCGGCTCTCTTTTTTCCACTTCCAGTTACTATAACTGCTATAAAAGACAAAGTCATACTTAAGACACAAATAAGACCCACCAAACAAGGAAAAGGCGAGAGAATCCCGAGGGAGACGCCCGACGCTATTGGACGGAGGTTGAGAGCGAAGACAGGAAAGTTTGGATTTGAGTTTTGACAGATAAATGGGACTTAAATTAAAGTATGGATGAGATGGATTTGGGGAAAACTGGCGGAAATAATGTAGATTGTAGTGAAGAGGAAAGGATGGATGATCAAAATGAAGGGAAAGAGTGGGAAAAGGTGCAGAAGGGTGGAAAGAAGCAACGAGCTGCTGAAAGAAAGAGGAAAAAGCGAAATTAAGAAAGTACGGAAGGCACTGAGAGTGAAGGATCTGAGAAAAAAGTAGAAGAATCAAAAAACCCAAATATGAACATTATTATAAGATTTGATGAAGAAGAAGGGGTTAAGAAGATGGATCCACTGAAATTAACAAAAGCACTTAAAGCGCATATTGGGGATATCAAACATGCTAAAGTTTTGAGAGACGGAAATCTGTTGATTGGGTGTAATTCGGAAGATCAGGTGGTAAAAGCGAAGAAATTAGGTTGGGTATGTAAAGTAAAAGTTAGAACAGTTGTTAGAGTG